TTACTTAGTGTTAATAATCCTCGATAGCCAAATCTGAAAGGACAGATTATGCATAAAATCTGTTATAAATTTCTACTGTTAGAAAGCTAACAGATTGCTAACAGATTCTGTAATATCTGACAATGTTAGCAAACTGCTGCCAGAAAACTGCCAGAATCTGTTGACATTCTGTGCCAGCAGATTGGTAGTAGAAATCGAGCAAACCCTGCTGCAGTCTGCCGTCAAATTGGCCAATAGAATCTGTGCAACACAATTTGATGACAGGATCTGCTCAATTTCTGCTGCCAGTCTGCTGACAGAATGTCAACAGAATGTAAGCAGAATGAGACATCAGATGAAGTTAGTCTGCTAACATTTTCTGGTTAAATCTGTTGCCAGTTTGCCGACATTCTGTTAACATTTTGCTGGCATTTTATGTTTATTTTTGAATAGATAAATTGCGAGAATGAAATTTCTCAACTGTGCGCGCATGGGTGCATATGTGTGCATGAACGCGTGTGTACATAGCAATTAATCTATTCAGAAACAAACGTAAGAATTATTATTTCTAAAACATGCTAAACATTAAGTAACAATGTTAACATTAATATTAATAATTTTCTACTCAACAGTATACCTTTAATATATATATAATGCATGTTGTATGTAATAGTTATATTGTTAAATAGAAAATCATTATATTAATGTATTGCCATTGTTACTCGGTATTTAACGAATATCGTTGTTTCCGTGAGTTAATTTCAAAACTGATTGTTTTAACTATGTATTTGGACAATAATCTTTTATTATATAATTGTTAATGAAACACAACATATACAAAAATTTGAAACGCGAAGAGGCAAAAATAATTAACGCAATGTATGTATATTATAAATTTATTTTATATATTTTTTTATATTTTACATATTTGTTACAGATATATTTTATATTAATTGAAGATTTGTATCGATACTTCGTGGACATAGCACGGAACAGAACCACATACCGTGTTACCTACCGACCAATTTCGTGGACAGGCTATGTAATTCAATGTCGTGGACATTAGCGCTTTAAAATAAGTTAACAGGTAAATCGCAACCGTGACCGCTCTCAGACTTCTCTCTGGTTGAAGAATAAGAGAATAAGGGTCGTGGCACATAGAAAACTTGTAACGACATCCGACTCACCCCCCTCAATATTAATAATAAAGTTAAGTAGGCCCCGACCGATCAACCGTCGGGGCATCGACACGGCGATCCTTCCGCGATCCCACCGTCGTAAAAATTACGAATACCGGAGGTATTCGTAAAGAGGAGATCACACGGCTTCACGTGCGCAGTGCGTGGATAAACACGCACCGATTAGGCCACCGTCGCCGGCCCCGCTACCGACCGCACCACCGAACATCTTCGCGAAATGATCGAGCGCGTTCGGTGAATTATCGCGAAGATTCCGGCAAGAGCATCCCTCGGAACTATCCCGAGTTCGGCCGACCCGTACCTGACTATTCCCGACCGACGGCCGACTCGGGTATATTAAGCGACTCCGGTGGATGATCGAGACCTATCACCGGCGAAACAGTAAGACGACCGGTACTGCTCTCGATACTTCCAGTCCTATCCAAAAGCGATTTAGGGTGCTCCCTATCGAGCCAGGAGCAGGAGGATTCTAGCCGATCGCTCCCGTCATCCACAAGCGCACAAGCTTTTCACAGATTGAGGAGCTTCTCAATCTGGGCTCTAAAAGCAAGCCCTTGTACGCACCTTCCACCGCTGACGGTCAAGAGGCAGGGATCTTCCTGCATTCCGAAGACCATAGCACAAACCTCTGACAGACCGTACGCATGACGAAACAGCTGATCCGTCATAACAAGCGCGCCGAAAATTCCTCGCACCGTCGCGCCCGCGCCGCGCCTACCGCGAACAAGCCGAATTCACGGAACCGACCGCGAACCGAAGCGATTGTACGATTCACGGAATCCGCGCCGCTTTTCACCGTACCACAGGCGAAATTCCAGACAGCTACTTGTAAATATTGTACATAACAAAAGCTCAATCAGTCAAACTATAAATATAGACCGTGATATGTAAGATAAAAGGAGTCTCGATTTTATTTCTCGTTAACAATCCTGACCATATCCGACCGACGCTATCCCGCGAAACACGACGTTCCCGAAATAGAGACGTTTTAAACTAAGCAGTAAGCGAATTAGCCAATTACAATCGAAAACGTAGGTAGTAATATAAGCAGCAGC